TCTTTGTCAGATAGCTTCTAGATCATTTCCGTCATCATTCCTCTGTCACCTTAGCTGCTCACTCAGTGAAGCCAGCGAAGTTGCTGGATTTTCCAAACCCATCTGTTTGGTTGACAGTCCGAGAGATTTCTGAAAAAGTTGAAATCCTGTGGGTCGGGTTGCCTGCAGGCCAGTAATCACTCAGGTTTTTTGGTGTCAATCCAGATCTGGGATTAATTCCACCAGATGATTTATTTCATCACATTGGGGGAGGCTGCAGGTTTAAGTTGGAGAATTGTTTATTGGAACCAGCATTCCCACTCTCCCCGGTCCAGGTTACAATGTGAATATACATGTGGCTTCACTGCTGTTCAGTAGAATTAAATGAACAACAAAAAGTGAATTTAAATAAATTTGAATGTGGCCGATGTGTGTGACTGTTAGGATCTGTGAGTCACACATCACACAAAAGACACACACACACTCTTCCAAATGAACCTGGACCTCCTGTAGCCACAGCAAATGTTCAGTTCCCTCTGCAGTGTGTGTGCGTGTGCGTGTGTCACGTGTTTGACATTTAGTTTAGCATTTTAGATTTCTTCACCCAGCAGGATGTGTCCTCTAAGCACCAAATGTTCTGCTTATTTTACTGCTTCTCATCATTACTCTTTCGTTTTATTCTTCCCATCCATAACTTCTTCCACTGTTGCTGCATCCAAGTACAAAAACCTAATTCATTAAGTGCATTAAATTCCAACTGGAAGTAAGAGGATGCAGGGACGGCAGCCAGTGAGGTGATTCAAGAGTAATGTGACACAAGATTTTAGCCTCAAGTCATAGTCGCACAGTGTTCTCGGGGCCTCGTTCAGCAACACACAGCTCCCACTGAGGGGCCGTTTGTCTGAATAACTTATTAGCCACAGCTGCTGCAGTGAGCAGGAGACGCTGGCTGACATCAGGACATCTGGTGGGCAGGTAGAGAAACACAAGACCTGAGGGAGGACAGGAGAAAAGATGCATAACAAAACACAAGCGCCTTCACTTGGAAGTGGCACAAAACATGTGAAAGTAATTAGACTTTTTGAAATCGTTTTGTCTGTTTATTATGTATCAATTTGGCTGTTTGTTCTCTCTTTCCCTGGTCTACACCCAGCGAGTGTAATTCAGTTGTTGTTGTTGTTTCTCCAACAGTTTATCATGACATCGAGTCAAAGTTCAAGAGGACAACGCTCCGCATGAAGAAACAAAACAAAGGTAACATCTCAATTCGTTAAGCATTTAGTCGGTAGGATAAAGGTTGATATTTGTGTTGAGGGAGTTTTTACTCAATATGGTCAGGGCTATTTGACAATAAACACTGAGACGATAGAAGTATATTTACAGTTATACAGTCTTTTTCCAAATCATTTCCAAGAAGCTTCCTGGAACAAGACATGTAATTTGGTACACATTATAGGGAAAATAAGAATGTACTTTGAAGTACATATTCTTTCATTTTTTGTACTCTGTCTGTGTTGTCAGGTTATGGTCTGCACTGCCACCGGGCGGTCATCACTATATGCAGGCTGATAGGCATACAGGACATGTACTGCAAAGTAGAAGGATCTAACAATCTCCTCAACATCACCAGGGCCCTCTTCACTGGATTAGCCAGGCAGGTAAGGTCATATCGGTAAAGTGTGAGACGTTTCAGAAGTTATATTTAACTGCTACTTTTATTCTCTGAGTGAAAAGTCAGGAAGAACAAAACAAAATCCACTGTTATGCAATGAAGGAGTTCTTAAACATTTGGGAAAAATGTAACTACCAGCAGAAGCTAAAAGTTGTCCTGCTGAGTTCAGAGCATCAGAAACATCTCCCTCTCTTCTTCCTCGCCTATCTTTCTCCTTCCAATCTGCAGGAAACCCACCACATGCTGGCCAATAAGAAGAAGCTCCATGTCGTCGAGTTTCAGCCGCAACAAGGCCCGCTGCCCGTGGTGGTGGCGAGTCCTAAAGACGGGACACGAGCTGAACCGGAACCTGAGGACGATATCCCCAACACGCGGCTGCACTATGACGACGTACGAGCAGCACAGGGAGTCAAACGCTCAGTCTGGGCAGGAGTCAAACGCACTATCTGGTAGCGTGGGAGTGGTGACTGGATCTGCCCACAAGAAACATGATTGGACTGATAGAGGCCAGGAGTGTCAGATGCTACGTCTGACTTTTGGTTCAGAGGATTGTGATGTTCAGAGGATTGTGATGTTCTGTCAACCGAGGATTAGAATTACATATTACTCAAATTGAAGCGTCTCATTTCAAAGCAGAATTCTCCAGATAGTCCTAATAGGCCAATATTGACACTCACACAATATTGAAATATGAACATCCTAGATGTCAGTTTTCTTTTATACCTGTAAAAAAAAATCTGCTTCTCCATTTATGTGGAATTGTTGCAAAATGTGTGCTAATGAAATAAAGTACAGATCTGTAAAAACACTGTGGTATGTACCTTTCTGTCTCTGAAGCATTAAATAATGTGTGTTGTTTCTGTAAACTAATGAACTCCGACAGAAGAGACGTCTTGTCCTTCCTCCATAACAGAACGGGTAAAAGTTTGATCAACATAATGCAGCTTTATTCATCAAAGGTGACTGTCCCCAGCCAGGTGTCCTTCACACTGAGCTACTGTTTCTCTGTACAAACAAAGAACTGAATGACTGGAATTTTTAAATTTTCTAGGGGACTTGGGGGCTCAGGGAAATCTGATTAGCCTGATTTTATTTAAATGTAGGGTTTTAGCCTAATTGTATTGGGATCCAAACTGTTAACCCCTGTAGAAAAGCAGCCACAATCAAGAACAAAATGACTTTTCCCAGTGAAGTTTTCCCAATTCAGTCATGGATGTGTTACAGAAAAATGTCCTATCTCAGTTTAGGGCCCCACTGCACTGTCTACATTTTAGCCTGTGAAAATAAACCAATATCAGTAATTCTTACACCAAGAGATTTCTTTACCACTTTATTTTAATTTTTTTATTTGGTCAGTATGCTAAGGGCCACAGGACAATGTGTCAAGACAAATTTTAATATGCAGCCCAAAATCAAAATGTGCCTCAAGAGGCTCTACAATCTGTCTTCATATTGTCCAACAAAATACAGAAATGCTCCAGGTGAGGCTTGAACTCACAACCTCGGCATTGCTCTACAGCATACTGTCTTATAAGTACCGCGCGCTGACCGATTGCGCCACTGGAGCTTCTTTTTTAGTGCCTTAATAGCTTAACTAAACCTGTGATCAGTTTGTGTGTGTTGACAATGATGTTGGTTCTGGCGTGATATAAAAAATGAAAAAACCCTCACAGTCTGTCTCTGATTTCAATCCAAAACTTTCAACATGTTTGAATTCTCTCTTTAAAATCTATAAAGACAGCATGTGCAGCATGAAAAACAGCTCATGGTAAAGGGGGTTAAAGGTCAAACCACAGTGTCCTCACAACAAACATAACAAAAACATCTGGATTTTGGCAGGTGGACAATGTTCAAAGAGGTTTTAAAACACTGTGGTTGGGACTTCAAGCCTCACATGATGTGTATTGGTGCACCAATGTGTTGTGTTCCTCACCTGTCCTCTTCATCAGATCCAGCAAGACACATGCAGGGTTGTGGTTTATTGTCCATCAGGGAGATGTATTCCATGTTTGTACTTGAATGACAAAAGTACTGCTACCTTTTAAGATTTTCTATTTATAATGATACTGTATTGACTTTTTATTGAGCTGAAAGAGAGACTTCCCTTTTTCTGGGGCCACGGGTCAGATTTGAACCCTGGGTCACTGCCACAGGGGCTCAACTTTGGTACATGTGATACAAGCTCTACCAGGTGAGCTATCTGAGCACCCTGTGTCTCTGGTCCTTTAAACAGCAAATTTGTAATAGGAACTAAATAAAAGGGTAAACCAAAGACACACTAATTACAATGCCATGTTCGCCACTCTTACAGCTTATGGTGTTAGCATTCTAATTAGCAGTAAACACCAAGTACAGCTGAGGCTGATGGGAATGTTATTAGTTCTGCAGGTATTTTGGTTATAAACCAGCATCCTGAGGGGAACGTGAACTTGTGTAAGTTAATGAAAATCCGTCCATTAGTTGTTGAGATCACAACATCACAAACATCTTAACCTCATGGTGGAGCTAGAGGAAAAGTCAGGGGATGACCAAAGTCTTGAGGATTCATCTTCTGGGAAGCATGAATGTCTGCATAAAATGTAATGGCGATGCGTTAAATAATTGAGATATTTCAGTTGGACTGACCAGGCTGACATCCCCAGAGCCATGCTACCAGCTTGACTAAAAATAATAATCATTTTAATAATACGTTTCAAAAAATCTTCCTCCTGCTCCCAGTTTGCTTAAATTGTCCCTCACTAATAGTCTTCCAATAGTGTGCCAGCTTGTTTTTTCTAAATGTAGCTGAACGTAACTACTAGTATTACAACTACTATTGTAATAGTTCCAGGACTCTTATCTTGCTTATCGACTATGAATACTGAAAGGAGAGTAGTAAATATTTACCAGCCTGTTACATGTGTGACAAGACTAACAATGACACAGCAAAGCAGGTGAACTAAAACTCTACATTGAATAAATGTGAAAACTAAGACTAAATTAAAGTGGATCAATGTGGAATTCATTTTGTTTCAGGCAGGAAGTGGGGGAAATAAAACAAGGACTCATCATGTTGAGCTCTTGTTTTAATCTTGAGAACACAAACTTGCAAAACTATACAAATTTCAGCCAGAGGTCTTACACCTAAAACATACAATTCACCATCCTTTATGTACTGATGATTGATGACAAAGAACAAATAATTTGCAGTATTTTACAACTTACAACAAACATCTGTCAGTCTGATCAGGGAAGGAATATGGCTCCGATGGCAGCAAGAGGCAACTGTTTGGATTTAAGAACATACCATGTAATAAAGGTAAAAATGTATTCACTGTATTCACTTTCAACCAATACTTGACAATTTGGGAAATATACTTATTTACTTTCATGAGTAGATGAGAAGATTGATACTACTCTCTTGGTACATTAAATATGAAGCTGCAGTGGTATCTGGATAGCTCACCTGGTAGAGCTGGCACCCTATGTACCAAGTCTAATCCCTTGCTGCAGCAGCCATGGGTTCAACTCTGACCTGTGGCCTTCGGCTGCGAGTCATCCCCTCTCTTTCTCCCCCCTTTTGCTGTCACTCTCAATTAAAGGCAATTGGCATGAAGACTGGAAGCAAGCAGAAACAGCTAGCCAGTTTCTGTCCAAAGACAACAAAAATCCACCGACCAGCACCTGTAAAGCTCATTTGTGGGTTTTATGGAGCTTTTAGGGCGGAACCGTTTCTCGGCTGTGAGCAGGAATTTACCGTTAGGATAACAGGCATCAAGTGAAAGCTGCAGGAATTGCGGTTTTATGCATTTAACAAACAAGATGTTAATTCCTGAACTTTAAAGGTGCTGGTAGGCTGCCTCTATAGGCTGTTACTTTTGAGTCCTGCTAACTGTTTCTCCCTGTTTCCAGTCTTTGTGCTAAGCTAAGCTAACCAGCCGCTGGCTCTAGCTTCATATTCAAGGGACAGACATGAGAGCAGTATTCTGCAACTCTGCAAGAAAGCAAAAAAACATATATGCAAACTGCTGTTCATATAACTTCATATCGTCTCTGGCCATGCAAACAACTTCTTGTTCAGTTTCATTTCATATTCTCCATCCACCTGAGTGCCATTAGCCTATTTTCTCTGCTTTCTTGTTTCTCTGCTCTCTTTTCTTTTGCTTTTTTGATTGTTTTTTAAAATACACGCAATATGCTGCAGCATAATCCATCAGAACATATGTTCAAGGCTCAACAGGGATGCTAATATGAGAAAAAACATAAAAATACAAGATTTAATTTAATGCTGGTGATAATTTTGTACGTTGACTATCTTTTTTAATGACATCTCAGCCTACTATAATTACATTTACAGCACATTCCATGGTTCTCTAAAAAGATTATAAAATCAAACCTTCTCTTACGTAATAAATGTGGCTAAAAATGATGTGGTAAAAAAAAGACATCTGTATGATGAGTGACAGTTTTCATAGGAACATATATTTCTAGGGTACAACTCTTCATTTTCTTTCATTATTCATGCTTTCATTTCATTTTATGATGCGTCTTCATAAATCCCCTCCCACTCAACCTTCGCTTAATATTGTTAAATGGCCCAAAATGATGCTTAAAACATTCATCATGAATCTGACCAGGTTGATGTCTCTCACACACACACACACACATACACACAGGATGCACAGTACTGCTGGGACACACAGGCGTGATTCAGCGTCGCTCTTCAGAAGTTTTTCCATCGGATGGAGGAAAGGATGGTGTGAATGAAGTAGAGGAGTGTGGCCACGTAGGCAAACACCTGAGACACACACAAAAAAGAGCTTAAAGCAAAAATCCACCATCTGCATTTTTTTAGGCATCAATATGACGTTCAGTACTCTCCAGGAGTTAGTTTATGATGCTGTTTTGCTTTACGTATTTCTAATGGAATAGTTTGACATTTGGGGAAATATCCTTATTTGCTTTCTTGCTAGAAGATCGATACCACTGTTAACGTCTATACAGTGCTACAGGGCAAGCAGCCAGTTAGCATAAAGATGCCAAAATGGCTAACTCAAGGCTTCAGAGTTGAACTCCACAAACCGATGGGTGACATAAGGTTCACACCAGCTAGCAGCACCTCTAAAGCTCACTGAGATTACATTTTCAGTAGGCCTCGCTAGCTTGCTTTCTAACTTCTTGGAGTCATGTCAGCCTACTTAGGTTTTAGAAAGGTTTGAGAAAAATGAGATGTAACATGTTAAATAGTGAGCTTGTCCTGATAAGTGGATTTTGTTACTTTTAAACCAGAGCCAGGCTAGCTGTTTCCCCCTTTGTGCTAAGCTAAGCTAACCGGCTGCTGCGGCTTCATATTTACAGTGCAGCCATGAATGTGGTATCAATCTTCTCTCTAACTCTCAGCAAGAAACCATTTGGTGTATACACCAAAACTATGTGTGCTTTGTTTCTGGGAGTAGCCTTGTGTTATTTCGGTAGAGTCCAACGGTAAAATGGCTCCAAAAATATAGGCTGAAGAACATCATACTGAAGCCAGGTGCTATAGATGTGAGTTTCCCAGTAAATACTGCAACAACTGTTCATAGTCTGTCTTGAAATCAGTTCTCACCACAGCAGCGATGTCAATCTGGTAGATTCTGAAATCACCTGCTGATTTCTTCTGAAAGGTGATATAAGCCATGTCCACCCCAGCACTGAGGTAGAAGAACGCTGCCAGGCCGTGGTACGCAAAGTCCTGCACAAACACATGGATTAAATAATATTACAACATGGTCACAGTCTGTCACTCTTTCTCTTCTCTTATTTCTTCTTTCATTAATTCTTTCTCTCTCGGGTCTTACAGCAGCAGCCCAGCCAGAGCTGTTCTTATGACCTCCAGCAGCGAAGATGATCATCCAGAGGAAGGTCATGACAAAGCAGAAGACAGAAACAAACATCACCCAGCCCAGAGGGTTCGGTGGGTTCACATGGGTCGACGCCACCAGGATCCACACCAAACCACCAAAAACCTGCAAAGGTGGTCAGAAAGTGGAAAGGTATTATTCTTTTTGTGATTTAGGCTTTTTGTTTGTACTAGAGTGACCTTAAAGTGACATTAATTTAGTACTGGCAAGAATGTTTTATTCGTTAGGTGTTATCGTCGGTGCACCATGAATGTCACACTATTAACATGGTTAAAATCTGAATATCAAAGAATTATATAATATATAATATTATTATTATCATATATAATAAATATATTATTATAGATATGATAAGAGAGCGTGTGTGTAGTGACTATCGCGAAAGTTGTAAATCACACCAAACGACTTTTGAAGTCTGTTAAAAAAGGATGAAGTGTGCAATGAGGGTATGTTCCTAAGCGTGTATCTGATTTCCGATTTCTCTCATGATAACTGGTGAAAAAACTAATCTGAGTGTTGGCTCCTTTTGCTGTTTAGGCAGCAATCACTACCATTATTTAGACTTGAACCGTGTTTGATAGGTCACCTGTGTTATTGATTAAACATTACATGGATGCAGTTTGATTCACACAGCTACACATGGATCAAATGCTTCTAGGGTAAAAAAATTACTTTATATTATGGCATTGTACTGTGTATGTATAATTTGTATTAACAGTAAGTTTAAGCTTCAATCTACGTAGTATTGTTAAAGTCAGGAGCTCTTCTTCAGGCTACAGTAAGAGCTGGCCAAGAATCAGCAAACTAAACTTGCAATAGTGTAACAGTGTATAAAAGCAAAAAATGTAAAAGTAAAACAAAATGAAAAGGCATTCAAAATACAGTCAGTAAATATTAAATCAGCAGGCAACATCTCTCTCAGTGTTGACTAAACAAACAATTCTCTTTGCTCATATATGTATGGGTGGTGTTTAGTTTGCCAAGTTGCCTTAGATAAAGTGTTAACCACAACCTCTCTGGAATTCACATTGTGGCACACTTAACTGATGGTATGAACGTCTATGAGTGAACACACATAATAATTCACAAACAACCTGATCCAGTGCCGACCAGAGCTTCATCTTAAAAAGGCTTTGCATCAATTTAACATACCTGATTTAATGAGTCAGACTACTGACCCAACTCTGGTACAGCAACACATACTGACTGCTTTAAGGAATCACTTTTATGGACACAGGACAGACGTTTTACTGCAACACACCATACAATAATTAACTAAATAAGCAGAATATGCAGTTTCTGCAGAGGTCGATCAACCATATCCGCTGCTGAAATTCAACACTGAGGAATTTTCTCTTACTTTCAGTAACAATGAGAGAGGGAGTTACAGAAAACCTCAAGACAGAAAGTTTTATTTTTTCACATACATGATTTATTGATCCAACTTGATCCAACAACGAGTTTATTTTTGTTTGTTGTGAAAAAACTAGACTTCATTATATGTGTGATACAAAGGTTAATAGGATAAAGAAAAGGTGTGACCCTCACTCACTGCCTCATTGAACATTTATTCGGTATAAAAAGGGGAAAGCACAGTCCTGCAACCTTACATGACCAAGTCATAGTTTTGCAACTCACAATTAAGTCTAAAGTCTTAAGTCACTCAACTCCCAATTTTGAGTTTTGTGTCCTAAAAAAGTCAGTATGTGCTCTTCACCAAATATAATGTAGATTTAACAGCAAACAAAACTAAATTGTTCTTGCTATCATTTTTTCCTACTGGCACTCAGTAATGTAACGCTGGTTCAGACAAAGAGGATCTGGGGAATTAAGTGTCACCTTGCGATGAATGAATAGTGTTAATGTTGTTTTAGGAAGTAATATCTGGGCTCGGGGGAAGGTATCATGTATTTTTATTTCAAAAGGCTCAAATTGAATTCACAAGTCAGTGATGGGAAAGTCCAAGTCAGGCTGTCAAGTCGAGTCTAAAGTCATTCAATTTATGTGGGTCCACATCTCTGGTATATACAGTATAAACATATTCATTGAAGTTAAAGCCTTGTGTATTTTGGCCTGCAAGCCTCCAAATAATACTAATCACAATCTCAACAAGCCACATACAAGAGGGGGAAAAAAGAATAAAGGTAAAATAAAAACTACTGATGATAAAAGTGCAAGAAAATACTGTACACCTGACATTATTTAGCATTCATGTATTGATTTTCTAAGACTTAAGACTAAATTGTGTCATTAATGTGAAATAATTTCACTTTTTCCCCAATTCTTGATTATGACTTGCATTGCAAACAGGTGGTGTACAGGTGGCTTACACTTCACTACAGTATCAGATTTCTTAGTAAAATGCAATTTAGAGTTTTACAGGAGGGCCGACATCAGCAGTTTGTCATTACATTTCCATATTGCCTACTCCAAGTGGAAGAACGGAACCACCAGGAGATTAATGGCGAAAATAAACCGTCAGGGTACTCTGAGGAAAGCATTCAGTCAGTGGCCAGTAGAAGATTGTTCTGCCCTTTAAAATGGGCAAACATCCAAAGGAAGTCTTTGCACATGGTTGCAAACAAAACAAACTTTAATAAAAGGTCAGTTTTTAGGCTCTCTTTAGTCTTTTGGCCACAGCAATGTGTGCAGATTTGTTTTCATGCAGCTCTGAGCAGCAGCATGGCTTGCTGCACAGATGAAGCAGGGCATTGGTGCGTCCTCATCACAACCCTTCCCTTGATAAATAAAAGCTAAAATAAGCAACCTAAATTACATTTACTCATCAGACATTATAAACTGAAACACCTTCCTCTGTGCAGTTATTTTTCCAGCGGTTATATGAGCAGTTTCTATCTTTTGTCATCATTCAGGGAGAAGAAGAGTTGGCCGCATTCTTTCATAGATTAGTAGCACAGATACAATATAAGTGAAATGTGAGATGTGAAAAGACGCAGATTCTGCTCCCATAAGAGGAATATGTTTCATCATCTCCCATTTCACCAAAATACATATTTTTGCATGGCACTTTTGTTTAACGGGTTTAAAATTCAATTTCAACTATACATTATTATATTTATTAAGAGATTTACCAGCATTAAATTACAACCAATTCTGGTATTTTTTAGAGACTGGCATCCGACTTGAAGTTATCACATCATGCTTGCAGAAGCATTAGCTGTAGCAGAAGAGTTCAAATATGCTTTCATTTCAGAAATGCCATATATTTGGGGGTATAAAAAGCTCATTTCTCGTTCATCTATTAACTGTGATAAAAACAGTGTTAATATGGTGTCTACCAATTGCCTTTTATCCCTTCAAATAACTATAGTTAATATTAATGTTATGTATCATATGCATCATTTTGTAAGAATAGATGACTATATGAGATATATACCATTTGAATGAAATAGGTCCTTTGTTTCCATGAAAAATTCAATAAATGCTGCATTTAAAATACTTAAAAATTAAATCAGTTTAATCAAAATCAGCAAAAAACTAACTGCTAAATTTCAAACATTGATCCAAAATGAAAATAATCTCTTTATAACTGACTTCAAGGTCAGCTGCTCTGTCCTCTGTCATTGCCCACTCACCAGTTCAGGCAGGTAAAATATATCCGGGGCCGTGGTGCATATCCCCAGTCCGCTGGGCAGGCTCCCCATAGGCTGAGCAGTAGTTGCAGCCATCTCTGCCTGTTTCCTTCTCCCGGTGCTGAGTCAACAGCAAGTGACCTGCCCTTTCCTCTGAACTAACAGAGCAGCAGCAGGTGTTTCTGACTCTTATAGGAAAGCTAAGTTAGCAGACAAACCCGTTCTGCTATTGTGGGCGAGAGATCCCTTCCCACAACAGCTCCTTGCACCACCCTTCATCTTACAGCACCCAAGGCTACCCGGCGTTTAATGTGAGCTGCTGACCTGTAAAGAGATTTTGAAACAACCATAAGGGGAACTTTTTGCCCTGTGGCTACAGTTAAACATGTGCAGCTGAATTATTTACATTGTTGCTGCTGACTAAAGAAGCAGCTCACATTGTCTTAGGTTATACTTACTTTATGATCCTTACATTGTGTTAGCTGAGTGCCTGCAGCTTCTATTTGTATTGCACACAGGGGCTATAACAGGAGTTTAAAAAAAATATATATAGATGCTTTACTGTTTTTGTGAACTCTTTACACTTTCTGTACAGCACCAAATGGAAGACCAACAAGACGGTGAACATATTGAAGTATTTGGTTGCTAAAGAGCAAGACATTCCTCTCAGGAGTTGGTGGAAACCAAACCAGAGCTAAAAAAGGAAATGAACACTGGATGCTAATGTTGTGTAAAGAAGCAACTGTAAATGAGTAACTGTTCATTAAATTAACCAAAATGTAAGCCACATCAAATTAATAACTAATTCAATTAATAATCAGTGAGTGATGGTGTATTGATGTTGTAGTTTTGTTGCCCACATGCAGGTAGACAAAAAAACTAACAAATCAGGCTAATTTCCAGGCAACTTTTTATTGTGATGCAAGTTAAATCTTTACAACATAAACACGAATGTACAAATAGATTTAAATATATAAATGCAGAGATAGATGAAGTGCTGAAGTTATTAGGTAACTGTGAAGCTACTATCACTCTTTCAGTTGCAGGTGGTTTTATTTGTGATAAATGCATTTAACTGGAAACCTGAAAGAGTCAGGCATCCTAGAGAATGTGTGTCCTGGGGCTATGTAATACTAACACCACTTACCTGACAGCACACTGTAGGTAAGTCAGGGGGAGATACAGTGAGGATGTTAACCCCTCATTGTCTGTGTGAAGTGTCTTAAATGTTTCATATCATTCAGTCTACTCTGGTTTTGGAAAGGAGTGTTCTCTGTGATGTTTTGCACAGAATAGTTGTTTAACATTGAACATTTAACACTGACGTTGCATTGTTTTGATTGGACAGATTTCAGTAGTAGTTTTAATTATAGGAACCAGTCAGAAGCGAGCTAAGCTGTGAGTGAGATTTAAAAATACAAATACTGTAAAGCAGTCAAACAAAAACAAGTATATATGTAGTACAAATGTGTAAGGCACATAAAAGTAGGAAGACGTGGTTGTAATTTGTATCCTAAAATTTATACTGTAACATACATTTGTAAAATAGAGACAAACCATTTTACAGGCTAAAACCTACAGTAATCATTGGCTGATTTTTCTTTCTAAATGATAAACAATTGAAAATAAGTAAATTATATTGTCACATAATGTTTTCATGGTGCGGAATATGGTGGATTTGTGGGAATGTGTTGAATGTTGACTCAGGTGAGTTTGACTGAGGTGAAAAGCAAAATCTGACCAAACAGAAAATCCATGATGTTTAATGAATGTCCAATTCATTTATTTTCCAATAACCCCTGTAAAGTGAAATCATCAAAATATTTACAGCCTTAGATTTTTTTAAACATCCATCCATACCATACATCAAAACCAAGCCTTTCAAAAAAGAAGAAAGAAAATAGATAGTATTAAAATGGAATAAAAAGACTTGGTAAACATACTACTACTTAGTGAAATGTCTCTTTGATTTGTAGAAATGTTTCCTGCAACCTGGAGAAGTCTGGCATTCATTACTGATCTGTAATACATCTTCAAAAAGATTGTGAATTTTCCTGTGTTCAAACCATGGGCGCGGAGTTTCCCCAACTTTATATTAGTACAATATTAAGCATATGGAGTACCCATCTGGAACCAATATAAAGCCACTAATTAACAAGACAGACTTGTAAATATCTTAACTTTTACTTAAATTAAAAGAAAAACATTTTCCTCTTACCCATAGTGTCTAAACATGCAGTTGGTTGGGGTTTATTTGACCAGTATTTGTGATATCCCTCTTAAATAAGATTTTTGCCTCCACACAAATACAGCAGAGGTATATTACATTTAATTTGTGGTGCTCACAGAATGACAAATCTATCTTCAGGAACTGGTTACTGTAGATATTCTTCAGAAAAAATCATTTAAACAACTTTTATTGTAAATACATTTTCCCTTATTTGGGTGAACTGACCCTTTAAGAAATGTTTCTTATTTTGTAAAAAATATACAGTGCAATTTTCTTTTTATATCAATATAGATTTCTTCCATTTAAATATTATAATGCTGCACCTGCTCCCAGATATTTGATTAAATCTGCAGTTGTATTAGTTATTTACACTCATCTACTTTCCTTATATCGCATTTATTTCTGATAAACACATTTTAACTTTAACAACAGGTTCATTCCAATTAATTTCACTTTACTTTACTTCACGTCTGTCCAAACCTGCCTTTCTGATTAGGAGTAAAGAAGAAAGAGTAAATTGAGGGGTAATAATGAGCAGGCCTTGCTAACTGACTGAGTGACTGAACAAGTAACAAGTTCATCAATAACCTGCTTGTTTCTCACCCATTCTTTCATTTATTGTTTGGGCACTTTGATTCAAAGGAGTTACTCTGAGAACAACAGTAAAACAGTTCTGTGTTTAGTCCAATGACATGTCAGCTGGTTAGGTTTCTTCTTTTCTTAATTTGTGGTTGGGTTGGTTTTGTTGTTTTAGGACCTCTTCCATCGGATGGCAGAGAAAATGGCATGGATGAAGTAAAGAAGAGTGGCCACATAGGACATCACCTGAAAACACACACACAGAAACACAGATGGATGATTGTCACCTTGAGGGAGAAATACATACAGAGGTGTTACAAATCCTGCGTTCCATGAGACCAAAGGTATCGATGAACTGATTTTGATTTGAATAGTCACATTGAAATGAAATCTTCAACCTTCTAAGTCGTTATAAATGTATGCTGTACAGCCACACATTATTCAAACCCACAGAACTTTATTGTAGATTTAAGTGGAGATCCTGAATTTTCCAAAGATGCCAAACATGTCAGGCTGAATTGTGGGAAAATAACACAAACCCGGGAGAAGCTGATAATATATTATATATGATACTGACAATCCAACTGGATAGAAGCAGTTACTTATGATGCTACATTGTACAGAAAAAAGCAAACCTTACTACTTTAACTACTTACTTAAGTTGGAATAATCATAAAATGCTGTTTACGTGTTTTCCCGTGTTGTCTCAATTGAGTTACAGTGCATCTGATTATTGTCAATATAGTAGGTGTATGTGTGTGTTGACATACCACTGCAGCAATGTCCAGTCTGTAGATTTTGAGAAATTCACCAAGTAGAATCTGCGACCCTAAATTCAACTGAATGGTGATGTATGCCAGAGCCACCGATGCACTGAGGTAGAAAACCACTGCCACAAAATGATAGCCCACGTCCTACAGGAGGAGGAGGAGAGTCAACAAAGAAGGGAGGCAAAAGATGGATACAAAGACAGGTAGAAAGACAGAGAGAATAAGAGCAAATGGGAAGAGAGGCAGAAAACAGGACTATCATTAATTGACTATTCAATAAGCCCTGCCTACCTTAGTTACTGTTGCTATGCCAAGCTTAGCACATAGATATCAAGTTAGATACCAAACTTCCATGTGGTACCTGTCCAGTCCGATAAGAATTGCTCACCTGGCACACAAACCAAAAATGTTTTCAATCTTCCAGGTTTACGTCCTGGTTATGTGACCTAATAAATATCTCCCGCTGGTCCCGCCTGCAAGTTACCACTCGGCCCATAGACTTCACATTAAATGGCTTTTCTCAGCTTGAGGAAAGTTTGACAAACATTAGACCTCCACGGATCAAAAATTCATAATAGAAAAGAATTATCATAATTGACTTTGCAGTTTGAGGTGTACTGTCCACGAGACATCTCTTTTATAATTGTGGCCTATTCAGGGAAAAGGCTTTTGGGACCACTGGGCAAAAATTGGAAGCAAGGCTGAGTGGCAGGTATACCTGGTTCTATTATATATTTATGTTTTAGCACAATACATATGTGTAGTTTAAAATGATAATGTGACAGATTCAATAATCAAAATATTTAGTTAATTTTGAATCAATGGGTCCTTGATTTCAGACGGAGGCAGACAAAAGCAGGGTTTTCTCATTTCGAAACAATTCTTATTTTCAGGTTAAAATACTTTTAAAAACATAGTTATGCATATTATATTTCTTTCTAAATTTTACACACTGGACATTTAATTAATGATGTATTCACTGTTTCATTCATTGCTTGCACTTTGCTTTCCAAACTTGACAGACCTGATGTGCTTCTACATTCCCAAAAGTATGTTGATGCCTTTGCATGCTGTAACATGTTTAATGTTTCAACATACAATGATATTTTAGACAGTGTTCTTCCAACTTTGAAGGCCCGTCACTGTTTCAACACAAGTCTTACAAGCCTTATCACTCAACATTAGTGCCCGACCTTAATACTCATGTTGCTCAATGGGAGCAAATTCCTGCAGCCAAGGAGCAAAATCTTGTGTAAAGCCTTCCCAGAAGA